GCCGAACCGTGACTTGTCAATATTTGCGAGGGCAACGGCCTGTAACATCTTCCTTGTCGCCAAGCTCATGTATGTGCTTCAAGTGTTGCAACGTACTCGAAGTTGTATGCAAAAAGTCCATAGAATCTGTGCTATGTTTATCTGGAAATCGAGTTGGGAACCGATGAGAAGAGATAATCTTTTCCGTCGCATCCCTCAGGGGGGACTGGGCCTTGCACACCTGTTTGTACGAAAACTTGTGTCACGATTCCTTTTTCTACGAGACATCGAACAGCCATTTATGCGCACTGTCATTCAAACAAAATTGGCGTGGCACTTGCCTACATTTTTGGTCTCAAGCTGCGGGGAGCAACCATCCAAAATAGGAGGTTTTCTCAAAGAGGTTGTCGATACGTACAATTTTTTGTCAGTTCGCTTTTCCAGGGACTTTTTGTCATCTATAAATAGGAAGGGCCTGTCTAATGCTTTGTATGACAGTCTTTTTCCAGAGCCCTTGTATCGCGCAGTGCACAGACAAAGCCCTGGCCAGGATGTTCTTTGTCGTGTTAAGAAAATGGCGATCCCGCCGCGTGCAAAAACTTTCTTCTTTAAACTTCACACCTCGACCCTCCCAGTAAAAGCATGACTCCACGAGAAAGGACTTTTTGTTCCTTGGACCACCAACTGCCTACTGTGTAAAACGCCTGAGACTATAGAGCACGTATTTATTTTTTGTTGGGACGCCCTTTTGTTTTGGGACGTGTTACAGAGGACGTTGAAAAAGGACTTAGAAATAACGTCACAATCGATTCGTTTTCTTCCAATTACTTCTCATGAACTTGTGCCGTACGACCTCATAATGCTCATTGGTCTATACAGTATCTGGTGCTCCAGAATGGCAGTTAGAAACGCAGATCTTAACCCACGGCCAGTTGAAGCATACTTCGTGGAATTTGTAACACAAATACGTTGTATCTACACGGATCAAGATGACCTGCCTTCGTGGGTAAAGAAATGTGAAAAACTATGTGAAAACTCCAAACGTTCTTAATGATGTGTGCTTAGCAAATGTATATGTAGCCTGAACATGCCGTCGGTGAATAAAACTGTTATAAAGACAAAAAAAAAGAGAACGGTGGCCGAGTGGGCTAACGCACCACAGCTCGGAGCACGTGTAGCGAAAGCTCGCGCTGCAGAACTCAGAGCACTGGGTTCAAATCCCCGTCCCTGCCCGGTTCGATCTGGACGAGCATCGTACCGGCTGCGTTCGTATAACCATGACTGGTGGTGCACGTTAAAGACTCCAGGTTTTCGGTCGTACCGCACTGGCCACACTGCCCATCTACAGCGAAGAAACAGTATCGCCAAATTCAGGCAGACTAACCTCGCGCTGTGTAAATATTCACACAACGACCAATTTCACTTTTTCTTTTGGCTTGCATTCGTTCCAATAAGCTTTCTATTCATTTGCGCGCTCCAATAAATTACCAGTTGCCACAAATCTCTTCAAGTAACCGCATGTTTTTTGTTTTGTTTTTTTATCACAGGGAACAAACAAATATATGAAAGAAAAGTAGAGGATCCAACATTACATTGCAATTTCTTAGCAAGCTAGCCAAGACTAGACTGCAGCGTCTTAGCGATCATGGCAATGGCGCGTAGTGAGAAGGTAGTATGTGGCCCTGCGCCTGTTTAGAGAATGCGTTTCAGCGCGTCCGATGATATATGTCTTTTGCAAGAGGCCGTCAATGCAGCACCATTTTCCAACCGGGCGAAGTGGTGCGAGGTAGCCGCGAACGTAAGTTGGGCCACCGGCAAAGATTTCACACCGCGCGGCGTGATGGAACGACTAGACCTCCTGCTGACCTATTTCCTTCGGGAGGAAAGGCACAATCTCCGAAAGTAAGTCGATCCTCGAGGTGCTACGTAATAGAGTATTATCACTTGCTAATAAGTGTTGGCGCTCTTGACTCAGGTCCGGCACAGAGGAACAATACTCTGAGAAAGAGAGACTCCTGCAAGATGTCGCAGAGCTTGCGCGGGAGCTGGGATACAAGCCCAAAACGGTCCTCAGGAAAAGGACCTTGTGCGCTCCAAGGAAAGTCTCGGCGCAACCACGTGCTCCGGCGCGAGACACCGCTAAGGCGGCGAGAGACGTCGCCGCTCTGGAAGGGTTCAATGCCGCGACCCCAGATGACGCCGCTGAAGGTGGGGAAGTTATCTGACAAGTGGGCACGTGGTCCATGGTTTACTTCTGTCTACTTTATGAAGTACATTCCGCCAATTTATATACTCCTCAAATAAGATTTGAGTAAAACCCTAAATCATTATTGGCATTTCTATCCTTGCGTGTTTTAAACGAGGTATACAGCAGGGGTGTTTGCTAGAAGCTAAATGTACAGCTAATAGGCTCAGCTGTCCACAACATTTTTTTTCCTTATCGGTATTGCGGTGTCCAAGCCACCCCCATCTACATAAAGATTACGTCACGATGCGTAGCTGTATCATTGGTTTTGCTAAAGCTACTTTTTTTCACTTGAGTTATTATGAGTCTTTTGTTGTCTCCCTACAGAGATGTTAAAGAAATATAATAGACCTGGTAATCACATCGATCTCATTAGTTACTGCGCCATGGGCGATATGTTGTCCCATGTGCATTAATCATGTTTCTAAACCCAGGCGAGAACAGTTCGGGACTTGGTGCGACAGCATCTGCAGCAGACTTGCTGGAGCAGATATACAATGTGGCAGAACACCAGGATGCTGTAGAGGAGCCAGCAAATTTGAGCCAAAGCATGTCCAGCTCTCAATCCTCTCTCGACGAGCAAAGACCCAGCACATCTCATTTAGCCCCACCAAGAGGTTAGTAAGAATCACGCTTTATTGGCTGCGTGAGGAAATCCTCTGTACTAGGTTCAAATCGTTCCAATATAGCGATCTTTGAAGGAACCATAAAGCAATTTTCAAATTTGTTCGGAATGGTTGCACAAAGAAAATCTGACTAATATTTCTGTGCCACGTTCAGAAAAAGTCCTTCATTCAAAAAACTTTTTACTGTGAACTTATTGAAATCCTGCTTTCGGGAAAGCACTTTGGGGCTGATGATGAAACGAAACAGTCTTTACATCTCAATCGAGACACGGGACAGCACGCCTTTCGACTTGTAAAACACAAATGATTTTATTCCTGTTAAGTTTCGAGTTGCCGGGCCGCCGGAAGGGAAGAGAGGGACAGCAGGAAAGGGCAGTGTTGTGGGAAGGAGCTGGCCTCCACACACGGTCGAGGTTTTTAGGCCACTGTCTGTGTCGTTGACGTCGCCAACTCAGACGCTAGGAAAGCCGCTTTTCTCACCGACAACACAGGCGAAGGCGACGAAATCTTGTTACGTGCCTCCTTCAATGCTGTACGCTTCGATATTTTCCTGCGCATAACAATGCGCTTTGCTGGCTCCTTATCCAGAAACTGTGCAAATATTCCCATTTCATCAGGCTGCTGCATCTCCTGTGTACTGTCTGGTTTCTTTCTTTATTGCACTTTATTATGTAGAGGCAGGTGTTAACTTCTCCTATTATAATATTCTATGCGAGGGTTATAAGTAAAAAGGTAATTGATATATTGTGTTAAATATTGGAAACAACTCAATTTTTCAATTTCCTCATATCTCCGGCAACATTTATAATGGATTACCGTTGCTACATTCCGTCTTAAAATTTTTTCTTGTTTATAATGGCAATAAACCATGTGAGCAATGCCCCTAAGTATCTGTATGCATGGTATCTGGTAGCAGTTGGCCTCTAGCTACTTAGAGAAGCCTTTCAACAGAATGTAGTGTGGTCTTTATAATTGTTTCTTGTTTTCTGCAGGAATGCAGAGACAAAATGCGGCCACACTAAGCTACTTACGCCTTCGTGGGAAGCGAGAATTGGACATCGAGAACAGGCGGCTCGCACTTGAGGAAAAAAGGCTTGCATTTGAAATGCAGAAACATGAAGACGAAATGCGTGAAAAGGAATGCAAAAGACTAGCCAAGGAAGAGGAGAAAAAAACGGCTGCGGCGCTCCAGGATGGCCAGCTCAAGCTCATTCAAACATTAATAGCAAAGCTGGATAAATAATAAAGCAACTAGAAAACCGTACTTATCTTTATCGCAAGGGAGACAAAGTGTCTGGTAATTACATCGACTCAGCCTTTTATTGAAACAATCTATACTACATATCGAAACAGAATGGCCAAAACCAGCAGGGGCGGATCAGGGTTTCTTTCCAAGAGGGGGTCAGGCCAGGGGGCGGAGGGAGAGAGCATGCTTACACACGGCCGAATATATGGCCCTAACTAAGACGTACGTGCTATCTCATTATGCCATTGTCCAATGTAATTGCAGGAGTGAAGATTGTGTTCGACTGCATTCAGCAAATCTCATTAAGAGTGACTTCCGGCTGCAAATTCAAAATTCTAGAAAGGGCAGGACATCCTGACTCCCCCGTGTGTCCGCCCTCTAGAGCCAGTAACAAAGCAATAAAACGGTAGAGGTGCTGAAGAGTTTGCGACAGTTAATCATGGCGACAGTTCCCCAAGATGGAAATATTTTAGAAGGATGCAGAAAAGAGGACATAATAGCTCTGCACCTTCTGAGGATGTTATTCTATCCTTTCTGAATCCTTACAATATATATTGCAGTCTAGGGAACACTGATTGATTCATTATTTTATTAATTATCACCCTTAAATGTCCACGGGGTGCTTTACATAGGGGGAGGGGGCAAAACTCGCATGTAAATTGAAAGAGAAACACACAAACTAGGATAGCAAACACAAAAAAAAAATTAGAACAAAATCAGAAAATGAAAGCAGCTGAAAGAGAACTTTCGATTTACATACGTAGAAACACCGCGTTACATGCCGCGCAAAATAGAAACAGCGGACCTGATGTAGAATTGAAACTAGAAAGGAAGGAACACTTGGTGTCCTATGCTATACATTTACATGCAAGTGCATCTATATACATCAAACATAACATGAAGTTTACGAATCAAGGAAAAGGGGCACAAGGTAATCATCAAGGGCGGGTGCCTCGACCTCAAAGAAATTAGACACTTGACTGCCGTATAGGCATGTGTGACAATTTGACAGTAGGGTGGCAACCTTATACATGCGCCCAAGTCTTTGACGCGACATTTTCTGGTTCTTGTGGAAATCCACAAAAGCAAAATCTGCGGCCACCTTCCCAAACCCCCACTCGACCGCCTGGCGGACTGTACTCATCCTCTTGTTAAAGAGAGCTTCGTGCGGCAGCAGGCGGGAGCCTCCAAATGGCTTGAGAAGGAGAGGCCGCAGTGGGTACGCTGGGTCTCCGTAGATGACGTATCTTTCACCGTGGTTGATGGCTTGCAAGTTGTCATAAAGGGCGGTGTCTTTGAGGATACCTGAAATTGGTTATTTGCATACATTTATTGGCACTGAACATCCAAGACCAAGGCCTCTCTTACATTTAGGAGCGACCTTAGGAGCTTCTTCAAAAAATGGAAAGTGAAACTCTTATTCTCTGATATCCCGTGGAATTGTTCTACTTCATCATTTGAGCTGTGTGAAACCATTCTTTTGTCATATACTGCTTTAGTTTCTTTAGGAATGGAGGACTACACCCATTCTCAAATTTGTGTTCGTTGAATGGAAAGCTGTTCACTGCGGGACAGGGCCTGCGCTGTATTGCGACTCCCACCAAATAAATATGGTACAGCGATGAAACCCATCGGCCTGGTTCCTTGGATACAACGCTTATATCGTGTTCAAAGTAGGTTTCAGCCCTTCATGCCATGTAGCTGGATGCTTATGAGTAATACTGTGGACAATGCTTGCTATTTAGATATTTGTCTACTACTGCGCGAACGAACGAACAATACTAAGGTAACCTAGAACTAGCTGCGCACACTCGCATAGGGTCGGTTGTTATTGTAACCTCGTGCAAAAAAAAAATGTGCATGGAAAGCATCAACGAAAATCTGAGCACAAAGAAGACACTTGCCTGCGTCATGTCGTCGCCCATTAAAAGGGCCATCTAATTGGCAGATGCTGCCGTTGGCAGACATCAGTGCTTGATATTTCTGCACGTGGTGCCGCTTGTGTCCGGAGAAATGCTCCTGTTGCCCCACCGACGGCCGGCAGATATGTCGGGCAGTGCCGTCGATGAAGCCCCAGCAGTTCTTTAACGGCGCACCTCTCGCATGCACCGCCTGCAAAACATCGCCCGGAAATTAAGGTTGACAGATGCACAGCGCAAACACCTGCAAAAGGCCGGCGTATTCTCACCTCGGAGAGCTTCTTGAGGCAGGGCACGTCAAGCCACTTGTGGTTCGTCAGGTCTGATAGCAGATGTCCAAACTGGTATTCTATATGCGCCATGACAGTGCTTACTACGCTCGAAATGACCGAGCTGTGCCGCCCGAACGTTCTTTCTAAATCGCAAAGGCGATTGGGGTACGCCAGCCTTCGCAGGGTCATGCACAGCGCCTCGTACCCCGGAACCCTCACTCGCTGGGCGCTTTTCACCTCGGCTGGAATTTTTAGAGCTGCCACCAGATCTTCTAAATCCATTTTTTCAAATCTAAAGCTCCTTTTGAATGTCCACTCGTCCATGTTCGGAACATCTACAAATCCGTGCTGCCCAATGTTGCGTCTGGGGACAGGCTCTGATTGAACAGAATATATCGCTTCAATCTCCGGCCACGTTAGCTCATTTAACAGTAAATTGTCGCCCAACACGCTGTAGCGCGCCATCACACCCGTGGAAGGAGCCGATGATCCGAACCGAGGCTGCCGCAGGTTACCTTCGACAGCACCACGTTGCACCACGGGCAAGGTGAGCACACGAGACGGCGTCGGCTAGCCCTCGACGGATGCGTTTGGCTTGAGGCGCGACCAGTATCCAACAGCTTAGCTGACAAATTAAGTTACTTGGTCGTATACCAAGGAAGTACCACTATAACTACTCGTAATGAGGAAAATATTTTTTAAAAGTGGCTTTTTATGCGGCATTTGTCCAAATAAATGTACCGCTTTAAAAACGAACCACGCCGGTATTCACTATCATCATCATGACTTTTTCCAGCCGTTGGAGAAAGAAGAAACTTCCATAGGCGCGGTCAGGCGCGGTTACGGTATGCTAAAACGTTCTTTACCTGCTACGCTCTCGGTCCGGTACCGGCTCGATGGTCGCGGTCGCGGTAACCCCGGCGGTCGCCCGGTACGCGGTAAGCTAAAACTCTCTAGTAACTCCGCTGTGGCGTCGTGCACTCGCAATTGCTGGTACGCTTATTGCAGATCTATCTTCAAGAAGATCTTTCCTCCCCGTACGATGGACAACAGGTCTGGTGCTGTGGGCAGCGGATATGCGTTTTCCTTGAATGCCGCGTTGACCGTACACCGATAGTCCCCACAAAGCCGTAATGTACCGTTCTTTTTTCGAACGATGACTAAGGGTGCCCAGGATAGCTAGGTTCGACATTGTACATGTACCTTTTTTTAGTACACGGAAGTGACGTCATCACGTCTGATTGGTTGGAAACAAAAGTGACGTAATTTCCCTAGAAAAATGTGGGCGGAGTCGGCAAAACTGGGCGGAGTCGGCTACCGGACGTGACAACAAAATGACGTTTCGTTTTGTACCGAGTACGTTTCAAAAGGTACTTGCTCGGAACTAGGTGTCATTGGCAGCATGTGTTCGGCGGCGAGGCGTCGCCGTCTCGTCAATTCGTCTTTTTCTTTAATAGAGCTTTTTTTTTCGCCAGAAAGGCTGTATCGGGAACACCGCGATGCATTCGAGCTCGCGGAGGAGATCTTTTGGAACCAATACCGCCTGCCCAAGATCGTGGTGCGGTGGTTGTGCGACGAACTTCGCGAGGAACCGGAGGTGAGGAGAGTGCGTACCTCATGGACGGTCATGACTGTGGAGCTTCAAGTGTTGTGTGCACTGTGCACTGCACTTCTACGGCACGGGGAGCTTCCAAGGCATGGTGGCGAGTGACGAACACGTAGCGCGGGACCAAAAGACAGTCAGCGTTGCGGTCCGCGCCGTGTCCGTCGCTATCGTGCGTCGTCTCGGGGTCCAGCGTGGCTGGATCCACTTCCCCGAGACGCCGAGCGAGAGGTTCGACGCGGAGAAGGGCTTCAGGCTGCTCGGCAGGATACCCGGCGTCATCGGTTGCGTGGACGGGACCATGGTCTCCATCGTCGGCCCGTCCAAGAACGACCCCACCGTCACGAAGGCGGCGTACTGGTGCCGCAAGTACTTCTACGCCCTCAACGTGATGGTGGTAAGTACACTCATGTTACGTTGTCAAAACGCGCCCCAAATCTGTAGAAAAAAAAAAAAACGTATTGCCGATACCGTTTTAGTATGCCGTTTTATGACTGCGGGCTGTGGGGTCTCACGACTGCGCGAGCGTGTGCTCTACGTAGCATGTGAGCCGTGAGACTCTTCTCCCAAAAATAATATTTGTCTGTTAAAACGTGCAAGCTTCCGTAAAAAAAAAAAAACACACATTATTTTTGTTTCAAGGTAGTTAGTTGTACCTTGCATCCAGGAAGGTGTGTTGACATGCATGTGTCAGACAAAATAACTTAAAAGGTTCTGAAATTGCGACTGCTTTGTGAACCATAAGTACAATCTACTACTTGTGGATTCAGGTAATTACATGTCAATATCTCTCTCACTTTCAGGTGTGTGACGCCGACTGCCGGATAATGTGCATCGACCCACGGTATCCCGGGTCGGTGCACGACTCCTTCGTGTGGCAATTTTCCGGGCTCCGAAACCAACTCGAGCAAGGGCCCGTGCCACGCGACGGCCGGTTCCTGCTTGGTGAGCATATTAATTCATTCCTTACGCACACGGTGGCTCCCACTGCTTGAAAGCCACAGTACCACACGTACTGTGCTTGTTGTGAGGCACACAGACACAGTTGCTGGAACTCCTTGAAGTGAGACAACACCCAAAGTTTGGCCATTAATCTCTGTTTATGTCCACATAACTCTCACACTCTGCAGGCTACGAAAGCCACACTACACCAATCTCACGACAGTGATAGACTATGCAAGGAATGCGACCGCAGTGCGAGTCGCTGTCCGGTTCGGCCCACTCACTGTTACTGTCTGCCTGTACCTTCTTGCTGGTTGGTTTTTGCATGAAGTTGGAGCTCTTTCGCTGATCCCTGGGGGCTCGCCTGGTCGCTTTGACGGTCGTCAGTTTGTACGGAATGGGATCAATTCCTCCTTGGCCACTTGGGGCTCGCCAAATCTGTCGTCGGGTCGTCTCTGTCCCACACACTGGATTCTTTTCCTTGACCCTTCTTCTTCGGTCTGCCTATATAGCTCCTCCTATTAGACCCTCCGTGTCCCAACAGGACCTGACTCCTTTTTAATCTAACCACCCCCTTTTTTTTCCCCATCTCCAACTCCACTGAGGATTAGGAAAGAGGTTCGTCGAACTGGCCCCTTATCCCCTTGCCTGCCAAAGACAAGGCCAGCGTGTTCTGCTCTGCCCGTGCCTAAGGTCATGGCCACACTCCCAAAAGCAACAGAGCTTTTATCTGTCAGATGCAAGGGCCTAATAATGCACTTGCATACAACACAGCACCCATAAGGAATCGTGCACACATCCCATACAACCCACCAGGAAAACACATAGTTACATGAAATAACAGGGAGTTTGCAGGCGAGCTGGTACTAATTAATCATAATGTAAACTGATACTGTAGTGCAGAAATATTAACACACTTAAGTTACATTAGAATTGACATAGTTGCACACAGCTGTTTTCTTGCCTTTTATTTTAAAAAGTAAAGAATGTAATATGTTCCATCCTCTACATGTGCAGGTGACAGCGGCTACCCCTTGGAGCCTTGGCTCATCACCCCCGTCCCCGGGAACCACGCGACCTCCACCGCTTGCGGCCGGTTTAGTAAGGCGCATTCCTCGATCAGGTCTGTTGTGGAGCGCTGCATCGGGCCGTTGAAAAACAGATTCCGGTGTCTGTAAAGGCACCGGGCTCTGTATTACCACCCTTCAACAGCCACCGCCATTATTTCGGCATGTGCAGTGCTCCACAACATCTGCCTTGCATCGAGCGAGCCAGAACCGGAGTCAGACTCCGACCCTGAAGAGTCAGAGTTGGAGTCTGAGCCGAGCTCGGACGGTTCTGAGCCAAGCTCGGAGAGGTTAGCGTCGGCTCCCGAGAGGCTGGCTCCTGCCGGCCCTTCGGTCGGCCTTCGGGTCGGCCTCTCGGACAGGGGGAAGGCTCTGAGGCAGCGCCTTGTCGCCCGGTTCGGAACCCGCCGCACACGTGCCCGTGCGGAGCGCCACACGCAAGGGGTCCGCCGCCACGACGGTAGTCCCGACCACCAGGGACACCGTCGGGAAGCCCCTCAGCGCCCTCGCTGCGGTGGTGCCCAACACGGACGCCGCCAGCGACAGGGAACCTCTCGCCACCACGACTGAGGTCCTGACCACCAAGGACCCCGTCACATCCTTGCCCTCAGTGAAGCCCTACGCGTGGAAGCCGTAAAGTGCACACTTCGCTTCCTCCTCCACAGTCATGGCCGTCCACAAGCTACATACTCTCTTCAGCTCCTACACCTTGTGAAGTTCGTCGCACAGCCAGCGTGCTGCCTCCGGATACGTGTCGAGTGCATCGCGGTGAAATCGATACAGCCTTTTTTTTATTCTTATGAGCAGAAGGCACGAGACGCAGTCGACAGTGACAGAAAAGGTTCGGAGGTTCAGTTGCCAGACCAACAAATCATCTGGATTGCCCCTGCAAAGAATTCAGAAGTAATTTAGACTACCTCTAGAAAGAAATGCTTGCTTTTGCAGAGATTGCTTTCTTAGTTGCTGATTGAACCAGGGATATTGTTGTCATGGACATTGTTTCATTTTACAAATGCTTCAAAGCGTCTTGCCTTCTGCTCCATTTTATTATCTCTTTAATGGTACTTCATCAAAGTTAGGTGATTGTGTTATCTCAAGACAGTGCACATGTAGTTTGTTTTGAAAATTGCTTTATTTCTTAAAGAAAAACCTGTGACTTCATGAATAAAAGTGTGATAACATGGAATGTAATATTTCATTCTTGGAAGTAAAACTGAGCATCGACTGGAACCATGTAAGCAATTGGGCAATCTGAAGTATATATCACAGATATCTTGTTGAGCACTCTGGTCTTATTTGAGCACAATAGTTAAATTTCGAAAGGAAAAAACATATTTATATTCTCTGACTAGCATACCACCATATAAACACTGGACCACTTTGAAAGAATTATCACAGATGTTGCGCCAAACATTCTTATTTGAGCACAACAATAGCAAGTTCTCGAAAGATAAAAAAATTGTTTCTGACTAAAGCAGCCGTCAGTCGCGCGCTCCCCGTTGGTTCCGCCGACCCCTCCGCTGCCCCCGGCACACCCGGCTCCTCGTGGTTCGACATTTTAGTTTGAAGAAGGCGCGTAGCGCACATCCCGCATAATATTGGAACAACTTTCTCTCCAATTAATTCTTAGATGTATTGCAAAAGGGTACAAAAAAGCAGTTTGTTTTAACAGCGCCAAAAGGTTTTGATTGTTTTTCAATACTTTTACCTGTACTAGAACAGATGCGACGGCCAGCGACGCAGAGGATTGGTTGCCGTTCCTTCGCTAAACGCAGGAACAGCTCCCCGCGTCGTAGTAAATCCTACCCCGTATCCCGCGCGTAGGGACGCATCAGGGAATGCGTAGCTACTTCCGCTCGTCGGTGGTTGGCTCCGGACGTCGCTGAAACGGGTGACGGGTGTCAAGTTTGCGATGACGTAGCGGCGTCAAAGTGGGCAGAGCCGCCACGTGAGTGTTGCTAGGATACGCTCCTCCTTTGCATTACGTCACTTCCATGTACCTTTTCTCAAATGTCCAACCTAGCGATCCAGGATAGCTAGGTTCGACATTGTACATGTACCTTTTTTTAGTACACGGAAGTGACGTCATCACGTCTGATTGGTTGGAAACAAAAGTGACGTAATTTCCCTAGA